TTGTTCTACTTTAGAGTTTCATAAACCTTATGTATGTCAATATCAGATAACGATTTGTTAAATCTGATATGCTTAGCATAAGGTTTCCACTCTGGTTGAAGGTTGCTGAGGAATTTAACATTTATCTCTATGACAGTTTTAGAGATTCCATTCTTAGTCAGCTCATTAAGCAGTCTGGTAAGCCTATCAAAGACATCGTCAAGGCCCTCTCCATCTTTAGCCTTGAACTCTTCATAAGCAAATATACAATTAGTAATCTTCAACTGAGTTCCCACATTGGAACCCATCATCATCTTTTCAATTTGAACTCACATGTTGTGACCAGATGATTTATGGTTGTCAATACTGGTGTAGAAATCGTTGGTCAGTGCTTGCATCATGTAAGATTTGCATAGCACATCAGCATGGGCTCTCTCCTTCTCTTCCGCAGTGTATCTGAATTTTTCTTTAATGACTCATTGTGCAGGTCTGCCTTCTTCAGGAACAACATGTGTCTCTCTGTAGAACACAACAGGACCTTCCATCAACGATTCGATAATCAGATCATCTTCTTTCATTCTCTCAATGAAGTTGAGGAGTCCATCCCTTCATTGGTTATAGTCCCCTCTAAACAACACATGTATCTTGGTGTCAGTACCAATAGCCATTGCTTCTCTTGAACTCATTTTCTCAGTTATGTATGATATAGAATCAACTGCAGTTCAAAATTTGTAATAAAGGATTAGGATTCAAAAAATATTTCAATTAAATCTCAAACAAGGATTTGCACACATTCAAGACTTAGAAAAATTTAAGCACACAAACTTATCCGGATTAGAAATCCGGTCAAGCTTATTCGGATTAGAAGTCCGGACAAAGAAGATAGTCTTGAAATTCTAAGCAAAACAAGTTATCCGTATTAGATATCCGGACGACACAGAGATTTAAATCGCACAAAGAATTAACAAATCCGGATGAGAAATCCGGTGAATTCCAACACTTAGTCAAATTTCACACAAATAAGAAATTTCAAATCGGATGTTTCAAACACTTAGTCAATTTGCGAAAATGAAATACAGACGTATAAAGTCAACAAGTCAACTAAGTCAACTAGTCAATGTACGCACAAATCCGCTCAAAATTCAAATCGCTCAATTATTCAAACAACTTTAAATCGTTCAATACAACAACTAAATCGCTCACCAAGGAAAGTCAAAGATCGTTCAATAATCCGTTCAAAAAATCAAGGTCAAAATACGATCAACAAACTGTTCAAAAAGTCAAAGTACGACCACTTAAATCGCATACAACAGTTCAATTAAACCACACAAATTAAATCGCACAATACTACACTTAAATCACACACAAAATCGCTCAAGTTACAACTGGATTGTGAATAAATCGCACAATTCACAGAATAAATCGCACAATTCACAAAATAAATCGCACAATTCACAGAATAAATCGCACAACACAGAAACGATTTACCAGGTGGATTAACCTAAATCGCTCACTAAATCGAACAAGAAGCAAACGATTTACCTTTAAATCGATCAAGACTTACCCGGTTTAACCTAAATCGCACAATCAATTCACAAAATATCACAAGACTTAAACCGTACAAGCTTTAAGCGATTTACACTTAATCCGGTTAAGAGTTATACGGACTAGATTCAAGCAAAAACACAATTTTTAACACTTTTCACCAAAAAATGGATCAAAACTTGCAAAAATATGAGTTTTTGAAGAGCACAAACAGATTCAGAAAACTCAAAAAACGATCAAAAATAGTTTAAATCTTGATTAAAATCGAAAATGATGTGAATCAAAGTTGTTTAGTATGTAAATGCGAATTCAGAAGTATGAATTATATCAATTAACAATCAAAAACTAAGCGATTCAAGCAAAAATTGCGATTCTGGATGAAGAACACGATGAACAGTTTGAAGAATATCAAGAACAAATGATAAATCCTCTAAAATTCGTGCAAAATACTCGATAATTCTGTTTAATCCTCTAAACAAATTGTTGATCCCAGATCTCTCAATAACACTAATAATCTAGTTATGAATAACCAAATTATAGTGTTTTAACGAAGAAAGTTATGAAGTCTCAAAGATAAAATATGAATATTAAAGAACAACTTTGAGCTTCAAAGGTTTTACTTTATAAAATATGAAACGTAAAACAAAGAGTAAAAAGCCTTTTTCTCTCTCACATGCGCTCTTTTTACAATAGACCTAATCATCTATTTATACTAGCTGGCTAATACTAAGATAACTATGTATTGCTACTTTCTAGCGAATAGTCTAGCTAATAGATAAAGTTTATCTTTTACATGGATAAGCATTATTAACAAGATAAACTATAATTCCAGCTGTTGATTTGTGATCTCCAGCCGTCATTATCAATGTGATGATTTCATCCTTATCTTCAAATCTTCATTGCACGCTTGGATGAATACTTAAAAATCTTCTAAGTGTTTGTCTGTCCAGAGCATCGATGAGAACGCTTCTTTCCATCGCATCGTCCATCAGTCCTCTGGTTGAACTTCGTCCATCGGTCCAATGTTCATTGATCCTCTGGTTGGTCTTTCCATCGATCCAATGGTCTAACTTCGTCCATCGGTCCGATGGTTGTTCTTTCCATCGATCCTCTGGTTAGTCTGTCCATCGATCTAATGGTCGAATCCAGACTTGGTCGTTTCTGCCTTGATGTCTTCATTGGTCTTCTGGTTCTTCATCACTTGTTTGTTTTTCATTACTTTTTACATTTTGCATTGTGGGGTTTAACAATCTCCTCCTAAGTAATGAAATAACAAACTCTAATCTAGACACATATGAAGAACAGACACTAATCTAGAAGAAAAACATCAACTTCCAAGTTTTCATTGGATGACAATTTTTTTTTTCATTGGTGTTGTGATGGTGAGGTGGTTGGTTCTTTATCGGTTGAGGAACTCAACACGATGGGTTATGGGGTTGTAGCTAAGGGAACTTGGTTAAGCGGTTCATCATCAGAGGGCAAGGCCTCTAGTTCCCTTGCTTGGGTTTCTTGAGGTGATGGTTRGTGTGGTGGTGATGGTTGCGTTGGTGCAGCGGATGGAGATGTATATGCAGCCGCCGCCTTTGTCTCCCCCTCACGAGGTCCAAGACCTTGATCATCAGGGTCTTGGTCATCGTGGCGTTGTCGATTGCTTGGGCGGCTGCTCGAGCATGAGGCGCAGAACTGTATCAACAAAGGCCTGGAACTTAGCCTTGGTGACTAGATCGACTAAGGGTGTAACCCCTGCAGCAACGGATGCTGCAGGTTGTGCCTCTGTTCCTGAGGCGCCTTCTTGGCCTTGTTTGAAGGCAGGCCGCGAAGGACTTCCATCATGTCCTTGATAGCCTTCGAGAGAAGAACTATCTCGTGATGTTTGGACATCTTCTTCCTCTTCTTCAGCTTCAGAGGCTGAGTAAGTGAATCGGATGTGTGTACCCTTTTGTAGAAAAAATACCGAGGGTAGTGGTGCACGAAATGAAGATCGCTCTGAACGATCTATGGGTTCAACATCAAAAGCAACATATGCGTTTGTGTGTGTGAGAGGTTGTGGCAAGCCCTGAGGCAAAGGGGCTCTTATCTCTTCATCACCTCTCTGTTGAGAGAGGGGTGATGGGGTATGAGATTCCTCGGCTTGTTCATCTCCAGAGGCTCGAAGGTTGGCCTCTAGATGGCTAGCTTGGGTTTGGATTGGACTGGGTCGTTGTGTTTTAATATCTCTTTGGCTTTGATCGCCAGGGATAGTGGATGTAGGTGCCCTTTGGATAGTAGGTAGGGAAATATGTTGGTGAGGGCCGGGGGAAGCACGAGTATCATCATCATCATCATCATCATCGTCATCATCCGATAAAGATGATGGTTGTGCTCCCTCGCTCGGAGGGGGGGGACGGCTCTAAGTGCTCCGGGGTAGCTGCTCTCGGTTCTTGGGACAGCATGGAGCATTCATAGGCTTGACGTATCTCACTTGTCGATGGAATGACAGTGAGCATAGCCCTTGACAGTGGTCTGTTGATGCTGTATCCTTCATTCGAAAGGGTTGGGCGGTGTCCTTGCATTTTGTAGACCGGGGTGTATGTCTCTGTTGCGGGGATTTGTGGAAGACGTTTAAAAAAATWGAATTTAAAATCTCATCTAATTGTAAGATTAATACTAATTACGAAGTTTTGGTCTTCTAAAAACTGATGTTATAGTTTTTAGTCATAAAAGCTGCAATTTNCGATGAGAATGCTTCTTTCCATCGCATCGTCCATCAGTCCTCTGGTTGAACTTCGTCCATCGGTCCAATGTTCATCGATCCTCTGGTTGGTCTTTCCATCGATCCAATGGTCTAACTTCGTCCATCGRTYCKATGGTTGTTCTTTCCATCGATCCTCTGGTTAGTCTGTCCATCGATCCAATGGTCGAATCCAGACTTGATCGTTTCTGCCTTGATGTCTTCAATGGTCTTCTGGTTCTTCATCACTTGTTTGTTTTTCATTACTTTTTACATTTTGCATTGTGGGGTTTAACACAAATTGCTGCAGTTTGCTCTGATACCAATTGAAATGCCCAAAATCATACAAATTCAGAATTAATCTTCAAGATGAAGATCAAGAATATGAGTAGAGAGAATTTTCACCAACAATCTTCTTTGTATTTCTTGAGAGAGAATATTACAGCACTAATCAGATTAATTGCAGAAGTTAATGACAATTACAAGACTAATCACTATTTATACTAAATAAATCATTAAAGCCTAATATTACAAAGCATAATAAAAGAGAACTTGAATACAACATTAACGCACATACTTGAACCCAACAAGAAATAATGAGAAGAAAAACTTTGTTAAAGGGGTAGCTGATGAGAATACCAAATGCTACAACTATGGCAAAAGGGGACATTTTGGTGTTAATTGTAGAAAGCCAGTGTCCAAGAACACTGACTATTACAAAAATAAGTTCCTTTTGTCAAAACCAAAGGATGCGAGAAAAGCTTTAATGGCTGAGGATGACCATTGGCTGAACTTAACTAATGAGGAAGAAGAATCATATCCTGTTGCTCATATATATCTGATGGCTAGGATTGAGAATGATATATCTGAGGATGCGGAAGAAAAAGCAAATTTGAGTGATGAGGTACTTGAATCTTTATGTTTGGAACAGATGTAGAGAATGATGTTAAAATTACAAGATTTTCAGCAAAAACTTAAATTTGAAAAAGATCGAGTTGCATCTTTAGAAAAAGATCTTAAAATGCAACAAGAAAGATACATTAAGCTTAATAGTGAAAATGCTGGAAGTTTTGCATGGTCTCCATCTCTGCTATCTGAGAGCAAACGTTTTACTGAAAAAACGGATATCTTGAACAAAGAATTATCTGAATTACATGATAAACTTAAATCTTTGGAATTAGTTAATGATGATCTGGTTGTAAAGAAAAGTACTCTTACTTTACAAAATAAGGTTTTAAATGAAAAACTCAAAGACGTGGAAGAAAAGTTGTACAAGAGAGGGCAAACGGATCAAACTATTTTTCAAAATAAACCAACCGAGACCATTAATCCAAGGGAAGGGTTGGGATACGAAAATCCGAATCGTTTAAAGAAAACTCTATATTTTACTCCAACGATTTATAAATGTGAATATCTTGACCTCGGTCCAGATTATCAAATCAGGTTTATGAAATCATCAGAGGAAGTGGAAAAGCAAGAAGACTTGAACAGGCAAAGAAAAGATAAAATGCAAGTTCCTTTTTATTATACTGAACTAAATGAAAGTTAGGAAAATAGAGTTCCTGCTCTTTCAACTGACAATTTTCATAGTTATTCAAAAGCAGAACTCGAATCAAAACCGGTTGAACAAAAGTATTATACTCCTACTCTAATTTTAGAAAAAAACAAGTTGTTCAACTGGAAAAGATTTTGAATGAAGAAATACTTTCTTTCCAAAAATAAAAGGAAGTTTTATTGAATAAAACTGAAAATTTCTAAAGTTCTAAGAAAGAAGAGGAACCTACCAAATCTGAGTATTTTTTATGTTCAAAACCTTTTTGTGAAACCTTTGAATCTGATGAGATAAAATTTTAAAATGAAGAGCTTAATTTTTCTCAAATCTTAAATTCGGATTCATGTTTAGATAAAGAGATTGATAAATTTGATTTTTCTAAGCAACTACCCAGTCATGATGATTTTTTTAAATGAAAATGATAAGACTGAGGATTCTGATAAGGTCTCTGATTTTGAAAATGATTTTCCTAAAAATTCAAAACCTGTTTCTGAGAACATTTATTACAAAAAGAATAAAATCACAAAGCATTCAAAGAAACAGAAGAAGAGTGTTAATAAAGCTCATCGTAAAAGTAAATCTAAAGAGTGTTAATTGTAATTATATAATAAAATGGAAATTTGATATAAATGATTTTGGATTAATAATAATTCCATTGGCTGCGGTCTATTTGGAATTGTTTTGTGAAAAGTTTTAATGAAGAAATAAGGGTGGCATATCAAGGAGAGATGTATCATGGGATAAGGGTGGCATATCAAGAAGAGGTGTACCATGAGATAAGAGTGTGTTAGACCCCATAATTTATAAGTGTAAAAGTAATGAAGAACAATAAGTGATGAAGAACCAGAAGACTGATGAAGACGTTAAGGCAGAATTGACCAAGTCTGGAGAAGAACCAGAGGGTCGATAAACAACCAAAGATGCGATGGAAAGAGCATCTTCATCACCCCTCTAGTCAACAACACTTAGAGTTTTCTTCAGCAATTCAACCAGAGGCATACGATGAGAATATGAAGATAAGGTTGAATCATCATCCCATGAAAGACGGCTGGAGATGACAAATCGACAGCTGGATTTCAAGTTTATCTCGATTTAGCTTATCCATAGTTTAGATAAACTTTATTTGTTAGTAGAAGATTAGCTAAATAGTCTCACTAGATAGTTATCTTCTAATTAGCCTTCTAGTATAAATAGGTGATTTAGGCCTATTGTTAAAAAAGTCGCTTTTACGTTTTTCATGTTGAATAAAGTGAAATCATTGTCACTCAAGATTATTCTTTGAATGTTCATACATTGTTCTTGAGTGTTCATCATTTTATTCATTAAAACACTATAATTTGGTATTTCTTAACTCGATTATTAGTGTTATTGAGAGATATGGGATCAACAATTGGTATCAGAGCCAATTGATTGTTTTTCCAATCAAACGATCATCCAAAATCTCTCAATTCACGTTTTTTTATTCACCAAAAACGTAAATTTTCTCTCTTCTAAAAATCCTCAATGGCCAACTGGAATTCTGCGTATGGTGTTGGCTCACTCACCAAGCCTCCAACTCTTCAACGAGAAGAGTACCCGCAATGGAGGATAAGGATGGTAAACTTCTTGGAAGGAATGGACAGGAACCTCCTGCATCTGTAATGGAGGGGTCCTTACCTTCCACAGACTCTTCTCCCAAGAGTCCCAGGAACAAATACCACAGCTGAAATCCCTGCCTATTACATGCCCAAGGATGAGAAGAATTGGTATGAAGACGACATAGAACGGGTTGAGACCAACAAGAAGGCCAAAAGACTGATAATCATGGCCATACCCAATGAAATCTTCCAATCCCTTGATGCATGCTCCACAGCCAAAGAACTATGGGATGAACTGGCAAGCCAACTGGAAGGAGGGGCAAAAAAAAGAAGAATCGTAGAACACAATTCTCAATGAATACACCAACTTCAAGGCTCTTCCTGATGAACTGATTCAGAAGACATACGATCGTTTCAACACATTGATTAATCAATGTTGTCGAAACGATATCTCCAAAACAAAGGAAGAAAACAATGTTTTATTCCTTAAAAGTCTYRRCGATGAATGGACACAGYTGTCKATGTCCCTTCAAGCAAATCAGGACTTAGACGGCTGGTCACTCCATGACGTATACGGAATGCTTGCTGCACAAGAGAACGATATCATGAAGAAAAAGGTGCCCATCGGTGGAGGGGCTCTTCCAGCTGAAGAGAAGGACGTTTCAAGGACCTCCACCAGAGATCATAAGAAGAAAGGAAAGAAAGCACTGGTGGTAGAATCAGAATCTGAAGACGAAACTTCTGAATCAGATTATGATATTAAAGCCTTTGCCAAATCTCTGGCCTTGATTACAAAGCAGTTCCAGAAAAAGTTCATCAAGAAACCCTATGAACGAAAAGAATTCAAGAGGGAAAGGTACCAGTCATCCTATGAAAGGAAGTCATCTAAATTTCATCAGAGGGAAGAAAGAAGAGATGGAAGAGAAGAGAGAGAAGAAAGAAGAGAAGATAGAAGAGACGAGAGGAAAGAGGACAAGGATGGAAGGAAAAATGACCTCCGCTGCTTCAGGTACGGAAAACTCGATCATTTTTCCAAAGAATGCAGAGGATGACCGGTAAAGGATGCTGACTATTACAAGAATAAATACAAGTCCTAGAGTGCGAAGCTTGATGGCTGAGAAAGAAAACTGGGTGTCTGATTCTTCATCCGATGAAGAAGATAAAGCACTCATCTGTCTGATGGCCACGTCCAATGTAGAATCTGCCTCCAACTCTGATGATCATGTATATGAGTCTACTTCCAATGAAACCAACTCTGCTCCATCTGAGATAGAGTTAAGGGTGATAAAACTTTCAGAGGATTTCTTTAAATTAAAAGAGAAATTAAATTTTGAAAAATCTGAAAGAATAAAAGTGGAAAAAGAAGCAAGTTTCTACAAAAGAGAGACTAACCTTCTAACCGAAGAAAAAACCGAACTTGCTAAGGAAAAGACTCGCATCACTACATTTAAGAAATCTGAGGAAGATAAAATTCTGGAACTAAACAAACGAATAACTAAGGACTTAGGAAAGAAAACTAAGGCCTTAAAAGAATCAGAGGCAGAGAGACTAAACTCAGTTGCTCTTAAAGATTTCTTTCAAAAGGAATGGGAAATCCTTCACCAGAAGCTTCAACCAATGAACTTCTGATGAAGAAATACAAGGATGCCCAAGATGTGTATGAAAAGTTAAATGGTCAAACGGACACTCAAGGGATTGGATTCAATGAATTGGACTCCTTCATCGAATTAAARAAATCCACCMTTGAATCCACTTTCAAACTTGGATGCATTCAGAAACCCGACTTTATTCCAAAACCAAAAGCAAATTTTAAAAGAGTTAAAGTCAATGGAAAAACTGTCGTTTTAAGACAGGATTTTGAGAATGTGGTGTACGAGAACAGTACATGTAAGAATTCTGATGTAAGGAATGACACCTCCAAATCAGAGACCGATGGAAACCTTATGGTCAAACCAGAGTCTCTGATTGTCAATCTCACTTCATCAGCAAGTACTGTTGATAAAAAGGAGAATCCTAATGAGGAACCATCAGCTGAGGAGTCGATGAACCATCCAAGTAAAACTGGAAGTTCATCTAAGTCAGAATCGATGAAACCTTAGACAGATCACTCTGAAGCATCAACCTCTGAACCCACTCCTCCCACAGACATTCATGCTAATTTTAACTTCGAGAAATCAACAAGAGACTTTCTCGATTCCGAATCTGAAGAAGAGATAATCTGTGAATCATCAGAAATCATTAAGAATAAAAAGCCTAAAAACTTCAAATCCTCAATGAAAACTATTATTCCATCATTGATGAAATATTCGGACAAAGGAAAGGGAAAGTTGAGGAATAGCAAATCTGCCAAAGATAACTCACAAGGCCCTAGTACATCTTTCAAGTTTATCAAGTTTACTCGTGAGCAAAAACAAAAGTGGCCTGCCTCTGAGAAAACTAACCACCACTTTTCCTCTCATTCAGCTGAAGAAAAGCAGACCTTCCTTAGGAGAAACGAAGTAAAGCCAAAGACCACCTCAAATAAAAAATTTGAACTAGATAGGAAGTTTGTAAAAACAACTGATGCTAGGACATAATTTACAACTCCTGCATTTACTTCTTCGTTTCCTTCAAATAAAAAGAACGTTAGACATACATATTCAAAGCATCATAACTGTCAATGTTTAACTCTTTTACAAAACMTGAGGAATCACATGTTGACACATCACTGCATATTCTCCCAACACGTTTATCCATACAAAGTTAAAACCAATGAAAACGTGAAAAAGCCCAAATCCAAGGGCAAGGGAAATAATAATAATCCCAAGCCTACAAAGGCTAAGGGTAATGAAATGAGAGTGATACCCCCTACTAACAAACGTGGACCCATAAAGAAATGGTACCTAAAACCCCTTAATTTGTCTTGCAGGACCAGCATGTTCAACCATGGTACATGGATTCAGGTTGCTTCAGGCACATGACTGGTGACAAAAGTCAGCTGACTTCCTTCATCGAAAAATCTGGAGGCTCTGTGACTTTTGGAGACAACAGCAAGGGTACAATCAAGGGATATGGCACTCTCATCAAAGGCAACATCTCCATCAGCAAAGTGGCTTATGCTGAAGGTTTGAAGCACAACTTACTAAGCATAAGCCAGTTCTGCGACATGGTTCTTGAAGTTAGGTTCCGCAAAGGTTTCTGCATCATAGAAACAAATCCCGGTCAAACAATCATCAAGGCAAAAAGAGAAGGAAATATCTATCTTCTAGATTTTGAATCCTCTATGCGACAAGACACCCTTTGTCTTGTGTCTCATAAGAGCGATGAAAATTGGCTATGGCATCAAAAATTCTCACATCTCAACTTTGATGCACTACAAAAACTAGCCACACAGAAGTTGGTCAAGGGAATTCCGGATCTCAAATTTGAAAGAGATCATCT